CATCGCTGCCTACGCCGACGGCCAGAGGCCCGCGCATCTACATTTTTTCGCCTGACCCCATCAGTGCCGACCCAACTACACCACCACGCGCATGCCTCGCGGCGGATATGCGCAGCAGCAAGAAGGTTTCGGTCATCCCTTGAGGGTGAGTCTAGCCCTGCTCGCCAGAAAGACCCCCCCCTTCACTACAACCCATGTCTAAGCAAAAGCTTGTCGAGGAGCGAGGGGAAGAAGGGAGGTATTGTACCGTAGCCAACACGATATAACAGAAAGCCGGATTTAAGACAGTGAAATTGGCTTGTACCGACCCTCTCTTAAACCGTAGCCGCTACTGTACTGAGATGAGCAGAGACCGGAAGGTTTGCCAGTAACAACCGTCAAGAAGACACCCACCAGCAACAACAATGGAGTACACCATGAATCGGCTGCGGTTGCTGTCGTTACAACCCCTGGAGAGCGCGCGCTGGGAGACTGGCACCATATTTGTTTGCCCTCTCACTATCAATTAACCGTGGAAGAAGACAACAGAAGTTAAGTACACTCGAGCCTTTTCGGGAACTATTTCTTGTGGCGTTGTGTGGATGACAGGTGTACAAGTGCTGTAACCATTGTTGTTGCACATACAAAAGTAGGACCAAGATACGATCCGAACGGAGGATCTTACTGATGGTTGATCAGCAAGAGGCCCGACTGTGGATGCGTCCCTCTTGGCGCCACCTGTGGAGCTTGGGAATCCGAGACCCTCGGGCTTGGTCTCCCTCGCCCCTTCGGCGGCACTCTCTTGTCTCTCTCTTCTGAGACCCTCTCCTCTCTAAATCTCGACGAAGAGAACTGCCAGCCCTTAGTAGTGGGAAAAGACTACTGCGACCTGGGCCTCCCCCCCTAACGAGGGAAGCCTGTGTCCTCAGTTGCACTAAAAATTAAAAATGGTCGGGCGTACAGTACCCTTACTGGGTTGTAGTTGGCCCGCCACGGATGCGGTACACCGGTGACGGGTGTTGGAACGCACTCAACAGCGATTGCGGCGAACGCACCAGCACCCAACGAGCCTTTTGTGAAAGAGGTCGTCTCTGTCTGTAAATGTACAATTTCAGGTGCCAAATCCTCCCCCGTGCAGATGATTGCCTGCCATCACTGGTCTACATGATCGACTTCAAAAGTCGCGAGGGAAGGGATTGCTGTACGCGGTGACAAGCTGTTTCTGATCTGATGTTGAACCATGTGTCAACACATGCCAACAACATCAGCTGAGCGTTGGCGCGGCAACTGTCAGAGCAGCTATGGAGCGAGCGTGTACGTGCGGGTGGGGCACGAGAGGGGGAAAGAGCATATAGCAGTAGCGCTCCCAGCGTATATGCAGCAAGGCGGTACAAACTGAACAAATTTCAAGTCGTTTCTTTTTTTTTTCTGTTCAGGTCTGGCTGTCTTGTCATATCTGTCACACGGGGGAGATGCTGTGGACTGCTGCCTCATCTCGCCTCACTGGATTTTGGAGACGCCATGATGCTACGGGCACTACCTGATACTAAATACTACAGTTCGCACGCTGGAAACGCACATATATATGCATACATAGATAGATAGTTTGTTCTTCGCTGCCCTTTGGAGGTTGTGTGTGCGTGTGGAGAAAACAACACCGCTTGATGTTGTTGTTGTTGTTGTTGTCTTCACATTAAAAACCATCCCGGTCTCTCTATCCAGTACCTCCTTCTGTCTCAATCTCTCCGTACTAATCCATCACTTGACTCGGCCAATTTCCGTGGTCACAGGCTAACGTACCTAGAAAAGGTATACCAAAATAAAATGGACCCCAAGGGTCAGCAGAGCGATAAAATACAAGAAAACAAAATATAATCAGAAACATATAAAATAAATAAAAAATAAATAATTAGACTAGTGGAACGGCCGCACCACCAGCCTGGGGGG